AGAATCTGAACCTAAAATTTCAATATACTTCTTAATTTAATTGAAAACTTCTTCCTCCATGTTGATGAAAGGACGTAAGTCACAGCAACACTCATTCCAACTGTCCTAAATGTCTGTGCATTTGCCATGGAGCTCACAAACTCATGATATTTTCCTTCACAGCATCTGGAGAAACTCAAGTGTTGAGTAATGGGACTCACAACAGCTGGTCTGACCCCAGGAGTAATTAGCAGTGTCACAGAATGGTTTGGGTTGGAAGGGACCTTTAAGATCACCTAGTTCCTATGCCCCTGCATGGACAGAGACACCTCCCACTAGACCAGGTTACTCAAAACCCCACTAGGCACTGAAACAGGCTGCCCAGAGAGGTGTTGGAGTCACCATGCCTGGAGGTATTCAAGAAACTTGAAGATGTGGCATTTCAGGGCACTCTTTAATGGGCATGGTGGGTTATTTGTGGGTTGTGTGTTGTTGCTTTTGTGAGGTGTGTTGTTGTGCTTTTGTGTGGTGTGGTGTTTTTAGGCTTTGGTTTGGTTTTCCTTGGGTGGTAGGCCCTTAGATGTCTTTTCCAAGTGTGAAAATTCTGTGATTTTATGATCCAACCTGGCCTTGAACACTTCCAGGGATGGGGTTTCCACAACTTCCCTGGGCAACCTGTGCCAGTGTCTCACTACCCTCACACTAAAGAATTTCTTCCTAATGTCTAACCTAAATCTCCCCTCTTCCAGTTTATCACAATTACCACTTGTCCTCTCACTACAAGCCCTTATAGAAAGTCCCTCCCAGCTTTCCTGTAGCCCCTTGAGGTACTAGAAGGCCACTATAACATCCTCATAACATCCTGTAGTTTTCTCTTCTCCAGGCTGAACAATCCTAAGTGTTTCAGCCTGTCTTCATAGCAGAGCTGCTCCAGCCCTGTGATCATCTTTGTGGCCCTTCTCTGGACTTGCTCCAACAGTTCCATTTCCTTCCTGTGTTGAAGGCTCCAGAACTGGACACAGCACTGCAGGTGGGGTCTCACCAGAGAAGAGGGGGAGAATCACGTCCCTTTACCTGCTGCCCACACTTCTTCTGATGCAGCCCAGGACACTGCTTTCTGGACTACAAGCACACATTGCCAGCTCATGTTCAGCTTCTCATCAACCAACACTCTCAAGTCCTTCTCCTCAGGGCTGTTACCAATCCGTTCTCCCCCCAGCCTGTATTTGTGCCTGAGATGGCCCTAACCCTAGCACAGGACCTTGCACTTGGCCTTGTTGAACTTCATGAGGTTGCCATGGGTCACCTCTCAAGCCTGTCAAGGTTGTCCTCCCTACTCTGCAGCATGTTGACCACACCACACAGCTTGGTGCTGTCAGTGAACTTGCTGAGGGTTAATAATGTAGGTCACCATTTGCTCACCTATTTATCCTTTTAGTCTAATACATAACTTTATCCATTTTTTAAGGTACCAGAGTTAGTTTATTAGATCACTAGTGGATCAGGTAGTGGGTACAACCTTTGCAGATGGATTTTGGTAAGTCAAATTTGACAGATTTTCCCAATGATGCACTCCAACAGCAACACCTTCTTTGTTCTCCCTTTCTTTAAAGGGCATGAAGTTAGTGAAGCAGCTTTAACTGCATTTCTTGTCAGCATGTCACAACCTCAGTGTCCTCGTAATCATATAGGAGCCTTGAAAGTGTTATTTAGATTCAGTGCTGAATTTGAAGGAAGAATGAAATGTTTTTTCTGGACTTTAGCACTGCCACTTATTCACACCTAGCAAATACAAAGCTATTAAGAAACAGCTCCTCTGTTTCTCCTCACTGAGTTACCCTATAGATAAAGAGGTATTAAGAAAAGGGTGGGTTTTTTCCCAGTGAGGAGGAACACCGTAGCAGTTCTGATGGCAGAAATGGAGCATCACCCTTTATGTTTCTGTTCATAATGCAGATGCAACTGTCCCTGTAGTATTCAGGCATCAGTAGACCTAGGAGGACTGAGAGTAAAGAAGCTCTTCTGAGCTGCATTAAATAGTACCTGCATTGATGGCCTTGCAATTTTTGGTCCAGGCATTTGTCAGGACAAAGGGACAGGTTTAGGTTTCAGCATTTTTTCATGTATAAATTTGAAGAAAGGACTGTGCGGAAGTACAGGCCCATGAGTTTGGTTATTTACAAATTTTCTAAGTATTTCAGTCTAAGGGAAAAAACATCTCAAGAATATAAAGTAGCAAAACTATCATTAGTCCTTCAAATTTTTTAATATCAAGCAGAGAGTAAGAGCTTGAGCCCTGAACTCCCATCACCCACCATTTAGTCAGTTTTTAAGATGTGTTGTGGTTTCAAAATGGAAACTGGAAAATTTCTAAGTGGAAGAAGAGAGATTATCAAGTTCAAAAAAAAATTACAGTCAGTTAAAATCAGTTAAATTACAAGAGCACCCTGAAGTCAGAACACAAGTTATAATATCATCACCTGACCAAGCTGTAATCATTTGAGTATCTCATGAACTGGTTTTCAAGTTGCAAATTGCTGGATGCTCTGCTAGAGAGAGTCAGATTTTCAGTCCTCTCTTCTCACTCTCCAGATTGGTGTCTAAATCTGGGAGTTACTCCCACACCTCACATACAGAATCTGCCTGGGATGTGGTTGCTTATTAAAGGGAAAGATGCCATTACAGCTGCTCTGATGTAAATCATTCATATCTTTGTCTTCACCCAGATGTAAAACATCAAATAAGCTGAATTACACTATGTTTACTGTCTTGTTCAGTATACCCACCACACATGAGACCTAGTAACAAGCCTTAGAACTGTAATATGCTGTCTGTATGCAGAGCAATGACACTGTATTAGGAAGAAAAATGTTAGCTTTTTGTTTTTAAGATCACCTTTCCTATTTACCAAGAAGAAATGTTGAATTTGTTATAATGAAATATGAGTTAAACAAAGCTTTTCTGGGAAAGTGATTATTTTCTAAATAAATTCTGGAGTGGGGGGGACAGAACAAATATGACTCACACAGAACAAACTTAAATCCTACGCTGGGATAAACACTACAAAACTAAACTCCACTGTAAAAAACAACACAGGTTTATAGGAGCTTTAGTTCCACTGAGGATTTGGGCTTTTAAATCACTGAGAATATTAAAGATGTACTCTAGGTGAAAGAAATTAGTAAGAAACAAGCTACAGAATAAATCTGAAATACAGTCTGCATGTAGGAGTGTGTCTTCTCCTGTCACACAGAATTTCAGCTGCAGTCAGTGAAGTATGTGGGAAGACTGAAGAGTCTTGTATCACAGCTGTGGTTCCCAACTGATTGGCAAAGTAGCCACGGTCACTTAACAAACTCAGTAGGTAATGCCAAAGGAGCTCAACGGAAGGGGAGTTAAAAGCATCAAGGAAGAACAGAGGGGGGAAAAAAACTAACCAAAAAAGTAACACAAAAGCCCAAATCAAACCACTCTGCTGTGCTAGCTTGAAGGTAGCTAGTGTCTGCACAAAATGGGAGATCTTGGAAAGGTCAGATGTTATTATCCATTGAAAAGTTAAAGGGCACTGAATAAAATGAGTATGTTGTTGTTGCAATCATCTAGACTTTCTGGGAATCAAGCCAGTGTGAACAGCAAATGATCAAACAAAAAAAAATGCTGAGATTTCTACTAGGAGAAAATGAGAGTATTGCTGCATTACAGCATTCTCATGTAGCCCAAACAGCAACAAATGGAGAGCACACCAATAGGTTATAAATGCACAGGAAAGATTTATTTGCTTAAACTGAGAGGTGGTGTAATCTGGTGGGATGTACCTCCATCCTTTAAGGAAGGAAACCCTGTGTGCTCGTTTCACTTCTACTCCAGACTTGCTCTGCACAAATGTAGACCCTGCTTTTGGAGCAGGCAGTGAAATAAAACCTTGAGGTCTGGGGAACATCTCTTCACCAGCATCACTCTGCAACATCTTACTCTTCAAAGTGTCACTGACTCACTGAAATGGATTTTGTACACCCCCTCAAGTTAGAGCTCCAGCTCACATTGGTGGATTTTCCAGGTTTAGGTTGAATTATGACTCTCTGTTGCTGGAGCATTGCCTTTAGGTAGCCAGTTTCAAGGAACTGAGAGAAATTTCAGCTTGTCTCCAAAACTTCAGCTTTTCTTCTTGCAAACCAAAACTCAGCTCATTAGGTCACACATTGAGCAAGGGGAATGTGCCAGCAGGAAGGACCATTGACCAGGATGTGTCCTTTCAAATAGTAGCCTGGCCAAATGATACACCTCTAGCTAAATCCTTGCCCCAGCACTGGTCCCATGTTCCTGATCAGCAGGTTACAATGTTTTACGAAGCTACAAGCAGAGCTATGGAAGAGAACAAGGTGTGGGGGGTGGTTTTGTGCCATTCTTATGCAGCTTTAGCCAGTCTGAAGTTTCTGGGATCACTTACTCAGAAGGCGACCCAGCTATGGATTTGCCTATTTAAAAGAACTGAAGCCGAGTCCTCAATGGGCTGGGTAAATAAGGTAGCTTGTTGCTCATACAAGAACTTCACAGCTGCTTCAGGGATAATTAAACTTTGATATATCTCCTTCAGTTCAGTGGGATTTTAAACCAAATGCTTGACTCACAAGTAACTTCAGTGCATCATCCCACTGCCCCTAACAATGTATTTTATTCATTGGAAGGAGGAATGATCTAGTGGAAAACTGCTTTCATCACCCTTTTTGCAGACTGAAGGATATTTGGCAGCACACTTTAAATCTCCTTTCCTGAAACTGCAGGAGAGAGTATCTAGCTCTTGGACTTTTCACATATCAGTGCTGAAGTGTTCAGGTACCACAATAAAGAGGCCATGTATTTACCTAAGATATTATATTAATGCAAGGTTCTATTAGACCTCAATTTTCAGGACGTGCCTTACACTCATTAATTTAACATTAATTTGCATTTAGCAGCCCTACTGATTATATAGGTCAAGAAAACTAAAATATCTTCATTCTCTGTTATTTTAATCTCCTTAGAGTACGCTCGGTTTGAGGCAAAAATCCATGACCTGCGTGAGCAGATGATGAATCACAGCATGAGTTCTGGGTCCGGCTCCCTGAGGACTAATCAGAAGAGGTCACTGTATGTCAGGTAAGCAGGGAGAGCTTTCTCCTGGGAATATGCTTCCTTGTCTGTGCCTGACTTGATTGTTGTGAGTTTGGCAAGTTGGGAAAGAGGTTTGAGGAACTACGTTGAACTGAACAGAGTCTTAGAAGCACAACATCATTAATGTGAAAATTGAGTAAAGCCCTGTTGCTTAATCCAATCATTTCAAGCTATTTTCAAAGAGCATTATACTTTTACATTGATTTGGTTTTATGAGATGAAGAATTCTTACCAAGTGTCAGTTCTTTTGATACCTGAGCTGAGTATGGTGGTTTAGAGACACATTGTGTTTCTGTGTGAGGTCTTGCCTAGACATGGAGTGACTGGTCTCATAAAGAGCCCTTTTTCCCCAAGACCTTGTTGTTACAAAGCAAGGACTATTATTTGCCATTCTAAATGCATTACAATCTGCTGCTGTCCCCATGCATGTGTTTACCCTTCTCTCAGTCTACGCCCCAAAGAATCTACCATCTACCTAGCAAGATCAAATATGCAGATGAGATGCTAAACAAGCTGATATACATAGCTTAAAAGGGGTGGTGAATAGCATAGGAACTGCCTGACTGTGGGCCGGGCATCAGCAGTGGTCATAGTTTTGCTTTGACTGTGCAAGCCCATTGCCACAGTCATCACGAGGTGAAAGACTGGGTGTCGCCCCTTTGCCCCTGGCAAGGTCCTTGTTGTCACTCCTGCCTTTTGGGACTCAGGGAGACTATGAGACTCTGTGCCAAATACTTGAATAATCTTAATAATTATGCTTCTCTAGGCTTTTCATTCTCCCCCCCCATGCTCTGCATATAATTTGAAATTCCTGACAATCATGAAGTAGAGGGAAGCAATTTGTCAGCCTCCAGGCACTGATAATTATTCATGGGGCAGCTAATTCAGGTGATAAGATTGCAGAGATCCAATTAAGGGTAAATTCTACATTTTGTCATTATGCCCTCAGTGTGAAAGGGAAAGGTAGTGGAGAAGAAAAGGAAAGCTGAAATGTTAACATGGATGGTCTTATTCTAGTGGGCACATGAAGCACTAATTGGTATTGCTGCTAAAAAGAGCAGGGACTGAGGTGTGGATCACTGTTAACAGTGATTTTGTTATGGGCAAGGTCAGGTTGGAAGTGTCATGATTTTCAATGCATCTCTAACCTTCTCTGACCTTTTTAGCTTTGTATTTACTTCTGGAAATATTCCACCTGCACTAGGTTTTCCAGATCAAACACAGAGTGATTTTATTGTCAAGAGCTTTGGTCACCTCCTTGAATTTGGATTTTATTAAAAGCTACATTAATTGGACATGTAGGGATAGATCCAAGCTTACTTTGCCTGAGGTAAGCCAGGAACCCAAAATGTGGGGAACAGTGGTACAAGACGTCCAAGCAGCAATCACAAGTCAATTCAGGTGTACACAGAAAGCACTGACACAGGGTCCTGAACAACTTACTGCTCTGAGCAGCAGCAAAGCTCAGTGACCCCTGTATCAGCATCTCTCTGGTAAGCCCTGCTGAGAGCTGAGGCTTATTAGCTTGCACACGGAGCCAAGCTAATGTATCTGTGCTACACCTGGACTCATTCTTGTGGATGGTGTTGCTCTGTGTTCACCGTAGGAGCCTGGTTTTCTGATAGTCCATGGATTCTTGATAGTCTGTCTCACTAAACTAATCTGCCCTGGTGCTTCACTGCAGGAGTCTTTGATGTCTTAGCTGCATATCTAATTATCACTTCCCAAACTGTAAATGCAAAACCTGTTTTTTTTATTCCAGGGTCGTTCCAACAAATGCCCCAAACTTCTCAAGCAGAAAACCTTAGAAGCCTCAGTCACTTTTTTTTTTTTCCAGTCAAGTCCACACAGCTGGCTGTGCCCAAGTCTGTTTGAGAGGCTCAGTATTTTAGCTGCTATTGGAGAGTTGAGCAGGAGAAACATTCCCTTCAACAAGGGCAAGTTTAGAGTCATGCATCTGGGGAAGAACAGCCCCATGGACCAGTACAGGCTGGGGGCTGACCTGCTGGAGAGCAGTGTAGGAGAAAGGGACCTGGGGGTCCTGGTGGACAGGAGGATGACCATGAGCCAGCAATGTGCCCTTGTAGCCAAGAAGGCCAGTGGCATCCTGGGGTGTATTAGAAAGGGTGTGGTTAGTAGGTCAAGAGAGGTTCTCCTCCCCCTCTATTCTGCCCTGGTGAGGCTACCTCTGGAGTATTGTGTCCAGTTCTGGGCCCTTCAGTTCCAGAAGGACATGGAACTGCTTGAAAGAGTCCAGCACAGAGCCACAAAGATTATGAAGGGAGTGGAACATCTCCCTTATGAGGAAAGGCAGAGGGAGCTGGGTCTCTTGAGCTCGGAGAAGAGGACATTGAGGGGTGATCTCATCCATGTTTACAAATATGTTAAGGGTGAGTGTCAGGAGGATGGAGCCAGGCTTTTTTCAGTGATGTCCAGTGACAGGACAGGGGAAAATGGGTGCAAACTGGAACATAGGAGGTTCCATGTAAATATCAGAAGAAACTCCTTTCCTGTGAGAGTGACAGAGCCCTGGGACAGGCTTCCCAGAGAGGTTGTGGAGTCTCCTTCTCTAGAGACAATCAAACCCACTTGGACACATTCCTGTGTGATGTGCTCTGGGTGACCCTGCTCTGGCAGAGGGGTTGGACTAGATGATCTTATGAGGTCCTTTCCAGCTCCTAAGATTGTGTCATTCTGTGATTCTGTGTTTGTAGTTCAGCAGCACCTGCAGCATTCTGTTAGGCTCTGTTAGTTCAAATCATATACACCAGTTATAAAGGTTGCTTATGTCTACATGAGGCACTAAGGAAAAATAAATGTGGTTTCAGAAATGTGCTTGTTTTCAGACACTGAAATTTTCTCTTTAAGGATAAACTGTTAATAGCCAGGTACCCATGTAAAAAGTCTGGGATTTAGCTGCTTTTTTTTTACTATCATTCTTTCAACTCATGACATTTCTGTTTCAATGGATTATTTTGATCAGCATGTGCAAGAGTCCTACAGAAAAATTACCACATGTTGCAAATCTGTAGCTGTAATGTCAAGTTTATGATTCAGGTTTGCTGTTTTCCCTTCTTTAGGATGTAGTGATTTTGTTGTCCTTAACTGAGTACAAGCATAGTTATTTTTTAGCCAGAAGTAAATAACTATATTCTAGGCAGTGCAAGGAAATAAATTAAAGTCCACATAGGCTGTCATAATTGAAAATAAGTGTCATTATCTGCTCGTAGAAAAGCCAACAGAAAAGAGGCTGAGACAAAATAAAGCTGTGTAAAGATTTACCAGTGGATATGGGGTTCACTGGAAGCAGGGCTTTCTTCCTTACCTTGTCATCTGTGATTTCCCCATTCAGCCCCTACTAAAATAGGATAGCATTTTTAATTGAGATATATGAAACAAGTTATATTAAATAAAGTGAGTTAAAATTTAAAATGGGATGATGGGTTGAATGTAGGACTAGAAGTAGTTGACTGAAAGGAATTAAAAGTCACATTTAATTAGTGCATACAACCACAGGAAAGCAATCAAGAGCAATTTTTTCTGTGTAGAAACTGTATAGCTAGCTGATTGACATGATCTTTTTGTCTGTGCATACTCTGGTGTTTCTGATTTATTTTATTTTTTTTTCTTTCTTTACCCCAGTCTGTCTTTCTCATGCCTCCTGGAATATTTCCTAGGAATTATTCTTTTTCAGTACTAACTGTTCCTATTGTATCACAAACCCTAACTCTGTTTGGGATGTTATCAGGAAGTCCATTACACTAAAAGCAAAGTATAAGGCTTCAGGGGAGGACAGAGCAGTAGGAAATGCTGTTAAATTATTTTGGGAGCCCACATCTTCTTTATCACTAAATCTCTCTTTTGACGAAGGAAATAAAGAAAGTGAAAAGCGAGAGAATAGATATGAAAGGCAGCAAGTTTTATTATTTATAGTTTATTTGTAGGTGACTTCAATAACTGAAATGAGAGGCTAAATATATTTCTGCTATTATCCTTTTTTAATTAATTGGAATTCATCCATCAGCTCATGATTAATGAAGAAAGTAAACAAACCCATCAACAGCTAAATGCTGTGCTATAGACATACATGGCCCCCATGTATGTATACGTATATAGGGTTTTAGTGTTTCTTCTACAAATTCTTATCTTCCTTTTTGTCTTTTTTGGCTAAAGGTTTTTAAATCTGCTCTTGTGAGATTATGTATTTGGTTGTCTTAAAACAGATACATGCTTTGGTTTGCCCCTCTAGGTCCAGATCCACAGCCAAATTTTTCAGGCAATACATGGTCACTTATTGATACTCTTAGGAAATGCCAGGTCATGTTATTTAACCCACAGGCTATGTAACATTACAGCCTTTGAAGAGTTAGGCATCAGAGAAGTACAGTCCTTTAAAAGTTTGGTGAATGCCAGCAGCCATTTAATCTTTAGTATAGAATTGCCAAGCTTTGGAGGAAACAAAGAGCTTAACCACTGTGAAGGGTTTTTCCTGTTGATTTTACTGGATTTCTCCTGAGCTTAAAGAACTTGTGCTAGATTTCTGAGGGTAAAATTAGTTACTTCAGTGATTGCTGCTAGATGTAAAAAGAAAAGGTTTTCAGGAGTCATCTGGTATCCAAGAGCTGCCTTCTTACAGTCTGTTCTTGGTTTTCAGATGAAAAATAATTAGATGAGAGCAGAATAAACAGCCACGGCACATTTTAATTGTTATTCAAACCAGACAGCTTCTGCAATAATGTGTATAATTAAAAATTCCAATTGTCCAAAGCCACAAACAGGTGTTGTGCATGTGTATCACTCCACAGAAACAACTCAAAAAGCTTCACACACACCCCAGCCCTCTCATTGCTACTTTACTATTTAAAATCCTCTCAGAACCATCAGTGACCAAACATCATTCCTCCTACTCATGGCTACTTGTTGCCCTTTATGAAAGGGCTGGTTGAGCTCATTGAAATGCAAGTATTTCAGCTTCAGCACTACTT